ACCATCCTTGCATCCCTGGTTTAAATCCTGATTGGTCATGATGTATTATTTTCTTGATATGTTGAATTCTATTGACTAGGATTTTGTTGAGAATTTTCACATTAATGGCTATGAAGGATAGTGTTGTATATTTTTCTTCTTTGGTGATGCTCTTTCCTGGGTTTGGTATGAAGATTATTATTGCTTCATAAAATGTTTTAGGAAGTATTCCAACCTTTTTTATATTCTGGAACTTTGGTGTCAATTCTTCTCTGAATATTTAGTAAAATACACCAACAAAGCTATCTGGGCCTGGACTTTTTTTTTTTGCTTGGGAGTTTTTTTGATGACCTGATCAATTTCTTCTTTTTTTATAAGCCTATTTAAGTTTTCTACTTCACACTGTGAAAGTTTAGATAGGTTCTGTTTTTCTCAAAAAGTATTCATTTCCTCTAAATTTTCAAATTTGTTGCAGTACAACTCTTCATAGCATTCTGTTATTATCCTTTTTATTTCCATTGACTCTGTTATGACATTGATTTTCATATGCATGTCATTTGTGTCTTCTGCCTCTTTAGTTAGATTTTCAATCATTTCTTGATTTTATTAATACTTACAAAGAACCAGTTTCTTGTCTTGTTGACTCTATAGTTTTTGTGTATTAGATCTCATTTATTTCTGCTCTAATCTTTATTGTTTCTTTTCTTCTGGTAACTGTAGGTTTACTTTGCTGGTCTTTATCTAATTATGAATGATGTATTACAAAGGAGAACACAGACACACACAGAGAGGAAACCATGTGAAAAACCATCTATAAGGAATTTCTTGGAATTCCTAGGCTTGGAATTCCAAGAAGCACCAGGGCTAATGATAAGGAAAGACATTCCTTTAGATAGCCATCCTGGTTTACTCTTCCAGCCTCCAAAACTGTGAGGCAGTAAATTCTTGCTTTTTAAAGCCATCATTGTATGGCATATTTCAATATTAATCACTAGGAGATGAAACCTATCCCCATTTTTTTCTTGTTTCCTTCTAATTTTAAACAATCCCTTTATTATAAAAATGAGGACTTCTATAATTTTCATAAATTGTTTAGAGCAATAAAATTATATGCTTATGAATTACCTTGCAACTCCTCCAGTTACTCTCAGGAATTGATTTTTCAGTTTTCAAATATTTCATGACAAAATTAAAGCATACATTTTATTAATTTTTCATTTGAGTACATTGATGGTTATAGAGACCAAGTAACTTTCAACATATCTAGTAGTTAAAAAAAATAATATATTCAAATGATTTTTAAAAAGAAAACCACTTACAATTTGGGAGCTTGAGATATTTGGTTATAAGCATCCTTATAAACACAAGGAAATGGAAACTTTGGAGGAAAACATATTCTATAAATACAGCTGATGACCTCTTATTTGCTGTAAGCATGGAACAGAAATTGACAGTGAATGATAAGACTTTTGAGAGGTTACAATTCTAAATATCTTTTAGATTCCAAAAATATTGCTAGCATGTAACAAAAGAATAAATGATTACTGCCATGTGATATTTTTAGTATAAATATATTTATTTATTTATTTTGTTCTTTTATATTTTTGGCTTTAAACTATAGAATAATATTTCCATGTAAGGTTTTGGGTGAATTCCTAAATGAAATCCACAAAATAAGAAACAGGCAACACATTGTTGATTGGTTCCAGACTTCCTTCAACATGACAAGTTAACTGAAAATACTGATATTTATCTCATATCAAAGCATATTAAACATACTTTTATATTTTAGAAACTAATGCATATTATCATCATAGCCAAAAATTAATAGTCCAAGTAAATCAATATAGATTCTTCTAAGAGTGTTCAGCAAAGGGATTCAATTTATTTGAGTCTTTCATTTGCATTTTCCAGAAATTCCTGAAATAAATTTATGAAAACTTTAGATGGAACATAATTGTTGGCTGAGAAAATCATACTTAATTGTTGCCACAACTAGAGAAGTAAGGAAAGTTCTGTTCCTAAGAGAATTGTCTTCACTGTCAATTGCCTCACTTGCTTTGGTATTTGGGCTAGTAAAGCACACAGCTCTCTTCCATTCCATAGGGAATGAGCTGGGCTGTCCTTGCTCTCCATGTCCACCTGCACTTCGTTAGAGAGCAGAGCTTTCACATGCCATACCACAAGATCCCCACAATGAAATAATGAAATAACTCCATTCAGAGACTGGCGTGACTGGGCTGCCCCCCCGCCCCCTCCCCCCGCCTTAAACTCAGCTCTTGTATCATTAAGAATCTGGCAGCCAGTTCCATCCCGACAGAGTTACAGCATATATTGGTGGATTCTTGTCCTTAGTGCATCTGCTTTAAGAATTAACGAAAGCAGTATCAAGACAGCCAGGTAAGTGTGTTTTAACTATAGCACTGGGGATGCTGACTATTTGGGACAGTATTTATTGTAACAGAAAAAGCAAAAAGTTCCAGAGCAACTTTGCCAATCACTATTCAACAGCAAATCCACAGTTTTGAGCACTTACTTTCATATTTTTCTTAATGAAGTTTCTATGTTTTATGGTTTTGAGATATTTTTTATACAATTCCTTGGAAATGGAGTTGTGAAAAGCTTCAAGGGGGAAATAAGAAAAATGCATAAATTAGACACAGTAAAGAAATCTATACATATTAAATATGCTACTAAATTGTATAAGTTAGTATTATAAGATCCTAATTCAGTATTAAAGAAACAAAGTTTTCAGAATAGTTTTCAGTAAATATTTTATTTCTATAATTCATAAAATATTATGTTATGAAATATAAGCTAAAGGCTTAGACATTGTTATGGCTGACATTTCTATTTTGTTAATATTCTGAAGATTTGGTTTTCAGATGCCTGTGTTAAGGAAAATGTTTTAAAGAAATTCTGGGAAATATTATTTCCTTTTTGAAAATAGCATTTTCTATAGCCACAGGCATTTGAAAACACTGGGGGGAAAGTCAATGGACTTTTGCTTCATAGTGGGATCATTGTATGGTGACAAACTGTGAATTCAGAGCTCTCATTTTTTATTCTGCCAAAAAGTATGGAAACAAGTTTCATTTTATTCAATATTAACATTATAATTACAATGACTATTTTGATGTCTATTCAATTTAAAATAAGGTAGAAACTTATTAACGAAGCAAGACAAATCTGCCCAGTATTAACATCCTATAATGTATAAGGAATTCTAGGACCATGTCATCATAGTCTTTTTAGTTCTGTTCAGCTGTTGTCATGGTCAAGTCTTGTCAGTTAAATATAAATGACCTCTATTATCTTCTTAGCAATTAATTCCCTAAGAATATAGCTGCATATGTTATACTGTGTAGGAAGTCAATATTTCTAGCAACTTTTGTTAATATTTCATCTACTGAAATAAAGTGCTTTAGAATTCGAAGTGAAAGCACAGAAAGGATGTTTTCTGAATTTCTGAAAACAAAAACCCTACTAAACTATAGCTTTACCTAGATCCAAAAGAACGCTTCTCACAGGAAGAGAAAATATTCTATGGTGTCTATTTGAATAGGGATTGTTCTTCACATGAATGATTGATTTATTCCCCAGAATTACCAACTTGTCCTCAGCCATGACCCTTCATTGTACAAAAGTTGCTCAACTCTTACATTCTAGTGTTGTTGTTTTTTACCTAAAATTTATATCCTTTATTTCCCCCCAAGGAATTAGAATATACTTTATTGCTGTCATAACAGAAAAATGTTTATTTGATAAGAAAATTGTTACACATTGATTTTAATTTATAGTCTTAATTTTATCCTTCTATACATGGTTCTTAAAGTCACTGTCAAATATAAACTTTGTTCAATTTCCATTTCTCTCACACTTCTATTCTGTGATGCTACCAAAGTCCAAAAATAAATGAATAGTTGTCATCTTAAATTATATTATAAAGGAAATAGAGAACTTTTGAGTTACTGAGAAAGAAGAGAAATTTAATTCAATATTAGAAACAAACAAACAAAAACCCTTCTCTGCTAGTTAGATCTCTTGCTAGGTTTAGAAATTCTTAGAATTTTTTTACCTTTCCCTGATTAATAAATTACCTTTACTAAACATTAGTTTTAGAACACAGCTTTGCAATGTGCCTAAAAGAATGGAATAGAAAAATTGGAAATATAGCCTCACAAACACGTGCACCAAAAATTCTGTTCCACTTTCTCAAAACCAACAACAACAACCAGACACTTTAAAGAAATATTTCTCCCAACCCCACCCCTCAAATGAGAACAACTTTTCTCCAGGCAAAACCACAGATTGTCCATGTTTCCGGTAAGGACCTTCTTAATGAGACATTTTAATTGGCATTGAATAGTAGGGTAGAGTGTGCAGTTCAAGACTGTACTTCTCGTTGCATTTACTCTAGTCTGAGAGGTGTTCTGAAGCAGTATTCTAACATAGTGGTCAATGAATTCTGCCCAGAACCTCTTACTGGGAGGCATTTCAATAGGAAGGATCTAGAGTTCACTGAAACAATTGAACCACACTCACCCCAGATAAGGAACCTTAGTGTCTCAGTGGGTAAAGGACTTCTAACTAAAAAGCTGGCAGTTCGAACCCACCAGTTGCTCTGCAAGAAAAATTGTGACAATGTGCTTCCATAAATGTTCATAGTCTTAAAAACCCTAAGGGACAGTTCTACTATATTCTATAGGGTTGCTATGAGTTGGAATTGACTCATTGACAATGGATTTGGTTGGTATGGGTATCACCTCAATAAGGGTACACATGTATACAATCTAACCTGAAACCTATCCTTCACCAGACTGTAACTAAACACCCACATTTTGATTCACAAATGAAAATGAAGAAGACATACTTTTAAGACTAAATAAGATTATAAAATAATAAAATGTACATTTGTGAATGAATTTAGTATTGAAAATCAAACTTCCCTTTCCTGATAGCATATGGTTTTATAATGATATATGTTTTCATCTTATTTAGGAACAAAAATTCTTGTGAAAATGAACCTGAGTAAATTCACTTTCTTGTTGGCATTAATTGGTGGTGCCAGCGGCCAGTACTATGATGATTATGAATTCCCCATGTCGATCTATGGGCCCTCATCACCTAATTGTGCACCAGAGTGTAACTGCCCTCCAAGCTATCCAACTGCCATGTACTGTGATGAGCTTAAACTGAAAAGTGTGCCAATGGTGCCTCCTGGAATCAAGTACCTTTACCTGAGAAACAACCAGATAGACCATATCGATGAAAAGGCCTTTGAAAATGTCACTGATCTACAGTGGCTCATTCTAGACCACAACCTTCTAGAAAACTCCAAGATAAAAGGAAAAGTTTTCTCTAAACTGAAACAACTGAAGAAGCTACATATAAATTACAACAATCTGACAGAATCTGTGAGTCCACTTCCCAAATCTCTTGTGGACCTGCAACTTACTCATAATAAGATCACAAAACTTGGCTCCTTTGATGGACTAGTAAACCTGACCTTTGTTCATCTTCAGAACAATCAATTGAAAGACGATACCATCGCAGCAGCTCTTAAAGGCCTCAAATCACTGGAGTACCTTGACCTGAGCTTCAATCAGATGACCAAACTGCCTATGGGTCTTCCTACTTCTCTTCAAACTTTCTACTTAGACAACAACAAAATCAGCAACATCCCTGATGAGTATTTCAATCAATTTAAAGGATTGCAGTATCTACGTTTATCTCATAACGAACTGACTGATAGTGGTATACCTGGTAATTCCTTCAATGTGTCATCACTTGTGGAATTGGATCTCTCCTATAATAAGCTTAAAAACATACCAACTGTCAATGAAAATCTTGAAAACTATTACCTGGAGGTCAATGAAATTGAAAGTAAGTAGAAAGTAGTACCTGTGTTTGATGAATGCATCCTCAATTTCATAAATGCCTAAGATTATGAAATTGACCCCATTTATAAAATAAAGTAAATATTGAAAATGCTAACAAAGTATCTTTCTAACCAAAACATAGAAGAATTCTACCTTAGTAATATATTCAATGTCTATATTTTCTGTTGAGTATCCTGATAAGGAACCAGTAAGATCATAGACTTTAAGCTCTATTTTCTTTAAAAATAATGTTCTTGCATAATTTATATTTATTTTCTCTTGATATTTTCCCATTGTTATTTGCCTCCTTTATGAGTTAAGATTTATGTCAGACATTTATTTCATAGCAAGAACTTGCCAAGGAAGGAATAAACAAGTCCAGAAGAGGTGTAACTAGCAGAGGTTTTGATATCTTCCTCTTGTTTTTCCCCAAAGTTGCAACTATATTCTCATGGTATTTTCTGATATATGTACTTGTGACCCAGCATATTATTCTGTAATTATGATATCATCTACCTCCTTATTCGAGTGTATAACTTTCATAGTACTTTGGTAAGGACTGTAAGGAAAATTAAGGAGGGCAGGAATCTGATGATAGGAAACTACAGCTCTTGTAATAACTGTTATTACAAAGCCCCTTTTATCATACAGTATCTTTCATTTGATTTTTTTTTTCTAGTTTCTTTCCTTCCCTTCCTTTGTAACAATAGTTTGTTTTGCATTTATCCACTTGTACTATTTATGCACAGTTACAGGGTATGTTTCAATTTAAGCAATGCAGGTGAAAGTCAGAAATTGAAATTGACCAGCCCCACCTTACAGAGTTTGAAAGAAAAAATAAAACCATGATGCATGGATACATTAATTTTTTAAATTAAAAATCAGTTGAGAAACATGCATTCAAACATAAAGCAATTATATATACCAAACAATCTATTAAAGTTGAGCATCTTTATCTGACAGAAGTTGGATTCCTTGTCATACAGGGTAAGGATATTGACATTGCTATCAGAAATAAAATAATGTAACTTATGAATATGATACTTTATAATACTACAAAAGTTTCATGTAACTTTTGTGAGTTGGGATTTTCTCATGAAAGAAATCATGGTTACCACCTCTGAGAAGTCACATGGTCTTTATTATATCTGGACAGCAGCCAAGGTAAGGGTTAATGCTTTTTGATAGTCACACAATATATAGTAAAGCTGAACTCATTAATTTGTTTCCAGAAAAATTCACTATGTGTCGATATATGATTCCACAGTGTAAACATTTGTGTTTAGCAGGATGAACACTGTAGCAGGCCAAAATGCTAGAGGGATGCAAGATGATTGAGGGCTATACAAATTCACTAGATATGATGAGTAAGTCACAGGAACAGGCTTACTGCTTGGAGGCAGCAAAGAAACAGCTGCAGATACTGGCACATTTGAACAACTAAAAGCCAGGCCTTCTTTTTTGAGTAAAATTTGGAATGCCCACTATAGGGAATAATAAAAGTGGCTTATGGGTGAAATGCCACATGCCACTCTGTGCCAAGCTGAGATTAAAACCACAGTGTGAACATTTCAAAAGCCTTTCTTTCTTTCTTTCTTTCTTTCTTTCTTTCTTTCTTTCTTTCTTTCTTTCTTTCTTTCTTTCTTTCTTTCTTTCTTTCTCTTCTCCTTGACCTTTGGTCAGGACTTGTTGTCCTGGTGTGGTTCTGTAGGAAAAGCACTGGACTGCTAACCACAAAGTTAGTGATTCAAAC